TCTACATTATTCGGACTATTGTCCTCATCTTTGTCGCCAAATTTATTTCAACGTTTCGGCCGTTGTAAGCTCCAACCTTCTTCAGGTGGTTGGAATGTCGAGCTGAACCCTTTATTTCGCACACTGGAGACTGTTCTAGTTCCACGTACCATGTTTAATGGATGTCAGTTATCAGTTATCTCCTGTTAATTCCACACTGCCTTAACTGCGTATTGAACTCACACTCTTTGGGTCCTGTCACTGGATTTAACCAACGCCTTTATCCACTGTGCCATGTATCCTCGAGTCCGAATATTGTAAATAATGTACATAATACCTCTTCTCAGAAATATAGACAGATACTATCTTAATCTTTCGAGTACTGTCATTTGCCACTTCCAAACTCTACAGTAATGTAATCGATTCTGACCTGACCTGACCTGACCTGACCTGACCTGACCTGGTATCCCAATTTTATTCACTTTCTCACCGATGTGACATAGCTCCCCTCTTTTATCTACAAATATTTTTATAGCACTTTTCAGATGAGTTTCCCTCCTTAGTGCCTGGTCTGCATTTAAGCGTGCTACTAGATTGGCAACTTGCTCTCACCGTTTTGCTGTAGAACTAGCTAGATATAAGCGCAAGTTCTATTCTGATAGTTTCTTCTCTCAGACTTCTCGCCTGTGGAACTCGCTTCCGATTCCTTGTCTTCCTTGCCACCTACGGTCTTCAAAGATTTAAATGGCCACTCGCCATTTTCTGTCTTCCTGAATCATGTTCATTTATTGTCATTTTCCTCACTTCTCTTCACTAAAGTCTTATCTTTCACTCCCTGTAAACACCTATATCCTAACGGCATTATCGCCTAGCTTGAGGTGAATTGAAATATCTGTAGATGTGAACTAAAGGAACCGACAATAGGAGTTCACATTCCGGCCGAATCTATTCCGTTCACTTTCTTTGGAAAAGTTTGAATCTAGCTCTTCTTTCTCGCTTCCGGCTATGGGTTAAATAGCAGAGTAGACAGGGCAACCGACATTGAAGAAAGAAGGAGACGGCAAAGTGAAATCACACCACCATCTTTTTCCCAAGAAGTAATTTCAATTTTCAGATAATTAAGAAAAATAAATTTGTGGAGAGTGATGGTCCACTATGTCCCAGAGGGTTATGATATTATGTCAGCGATTTCGGTTTAATAAATAAATTAATATCAGAGAATAAATAAAAATTTCTACACTTTGCTAAATCTCTTCCTCATACTTTTTATTGATGTAAGTCGTAAAGCTTATTTCTGTCTTTGATATTTACTCCAGCATGATGGGGATAGATAGATAGATAGATAGATAGATAGATAGATAGATAGATAGATAGATAGATAGATATGAACACATGATAGATAGATAGATAGATAGATAGATAGATATGAACACATTATGATAGATAGATAGATAGATAGATAGATAGATAGATAGATAGATATGAACACATTATAATAGATAGATACATAGATAGATATATATGCACAGATTAGTATAGATAAATAGAGAGATAAGTAGTTTAATCAGTAAAACCATACTGATTTAGTAAAGACTCGGAAATTTTAAAAATACTAATCAAACACTGCTGAAACCATTTACTAACTCATGGAACAAGTAAAAGCTTTCATTGCCAGAGATTTTCTACGTTGAGTTTGAGCATTCAATACATCATGGAAATCAAACTTTCAATGAAAGCCTAACAAAAGCGATTAGATCATGACTGCACAACGAGAATTATTCGTAGACAGATTGAGTACTTCGACTTGGTGTGATGGTTAGCAAGTTTGTATCACTAGGTTAATTATAACTGAGTAGGGTGTTCGATTCTTAATGGGTGTTCCACAATTTCGGCCTTGTGCCACATGCAAGCTACGCTTATAATATCGTTTTGGGGCACCTCGAGACAGTGTAATGGTTAGCAAACTTGTTTACAACTGAGTAGTGAGTTCGATCCTCACTGAGTGCCCCCTACTTTCGGCCTTTTGGCACATCTAAGTTACGCTTACAAAATAATTTCAATTAAGATCCCCTCACTGAGTTCTACATACTTTTCATCTATGATTTTTTCAATTATAAACCAAGTAACTCTATACTGACAAAGCATCTATCTATCTATCTATCTATCTATCTATCTCTCTCTATATATATATAGATAGATAGAGATAATAAAGAGATAGAACAGTAGGATATATAATCCGGTGTTCTTATTAATATTTTTATTATTACAAAACAGTTCTCAATGCAAATCTGTACAGCAAAAATATTATAAATTTACTTATTTAAAAATATAGTTCCATCGCTACACAGGAATTACCATGTTTCAAAAACAGAAACTAAAAACTTCAAATTCAATAATAGAATTAAATTAAAGTCCCTAGTCCTGTTTCATTTTCAAGCGAATTTTGGAATAACTTATTTCGAAGTTTCCTGAGTTTTATAACCATATACATTCATAATATTAATTTCTAAGGGTACGGGAA